CTGTTAAATAATTATTACTTAAAATATTTTACTACTTAAATTATAAAAATGTCAAGCAATACAAATTTAAGCAAAACAGGGAGAAAAAATACATCATCTGCACCAGCAGCAGCATCAAGCCCAGCGAGTCAACACTCGACACCATGTTGCAGAACGAAAGATTAAATATTTTTCAGTCAGAAATGAAAACTATGTTCCAACTATCACAAGAAGCCATGGCTAAGAATCATGATGATTTGGCAGATAGGATGCAAAAGATGGCTCAAATGATGGAGGATAAAATAGATAACATCCAGCAAATAATCACTAAAAATGAACAACGGATTTCGAAAATGGAAGAGAAGACAGAGCAAAAAGATAAGAAAGTAGAAGAGATGGATTACAGACTGACAAAGGTAGATAATGAGCTTGAGTGATCCATAATTATGCTGGAGATGGATAGAGCAGAATACTTCCTGAGATTTCAGAATATTGAAGATCTTGCTGAAAAAATGGCAGAATTGTTGGCAGATGTGTTGGAAAAGAGCAAACAGGAAGTCCTCTCTGGGATTGACAAAATATTTAGAATATATGCAAGCTATGCGAGAAGGAACAAACTTCCCAGAGAGGTACATGTGAGATTTTCAAAGAAGGCAGTAAGAGCGGAGATGCACCATTAAAATACAAAGGGAGAGGAATAGCAATTTTGAAACAAATACCCAAAAGAGTAAGAGATACGAGGAAACAGTACCAATTTCTGACAAGACAACTAATAAAACATGATGTAAACTTTAGATGGCTAATACCTGATGGAATATTGGTGACTTGGATGAGAAAAAGATGGACACAATAGACAACACAGAACAATTCTATTATCAGCACTGTCATAGGAAAATTCCAATAGGAAACAAAGGCAACAACACAAGCAANGTATGTCAGAAATACTGAGGTTGAGAAATACTGTTCTAGTAGATACTGCACCAGGGAGGGAGTTTATTTATTTGTATATACAACCTGTAGCCCTTCCAATTCATAGCAACTCTGGGTTGCTTTCAATTAAAAGTAAAAAAAAAAAGCAAAACACAAAAGAATTATGAACAGCTTCAGAAGGAAAGTATAACCAAATAAAACAAGCCAGCAGAGGTTCCACCTTCTTTCTGCTTCAAAATGTGGGAGAAGAGCCAGGTCTTTAATAGTTTCCTGCATGTCATGAGGATTTGGACTGATCTGGATCTCTGGAAGGATGTAATTCTAGAGGGTAAGAGCCACAACAGAGGAATTGAATTAGGTGACTTCTATGATCTTCCAACTCTTATGATTCTGGGCACCCATCCATTGGAATTTGCTGGAGATCTTTGTGTTTTTGTTTCTGCAGCCATTAGGAAAGCAATTTTCACTGTTGTGTATGTGACCAGGTGTTCAACTTGGAGCTTAATTTCAGTGAAGTGGTGTGGTTCTTTTTATAAGGCTGCTTTTAGACTTCCTGCTGGTAGATTATTTTTTTTTGGCACTCACAAACATTTTTCTCACTTAAAAGGATAAAAGCTAAACATAACCGTTTTGTAAAACTAATTGGGAAGCCAGTGAATGAAAAGTCAAGCAATTTCCTATACAGAGTGTTAACATGTTTATTGGTTGCCAACTGTTTCCAAATTCTATTACTTCATACAGCTCTCTAGGATGTTAAAGGCAAAAGCTGAGATGTGAAATACCATATGCAGGAGAACTGGAGCTTTTCTTTTCTTGGGACTTCAGAAAATCTCCTTTTCAGTCAGGAAGTTTTCCATGGTGGTCAATATATACTACAAGATATCTGGAAATAATCTTGTGCCATATGTGCATGTTGCCTATATGAAGAGATTGGATCTACAGCAGTGGTGGGTTCCGGATCCCGGTGCAACTGGTACAGTGCAACGGGGCCGGGTGTCCACCACATGAATGTGTGCGATGCGTGCACAGCGCGCGCATGTGTACTTACCGCCTGCAATGCTCCGTGACACTTCAGCTGCTCGGCAGAGTGTCGCGCAGGCTCTGGATGCTTGCGCGGAAGCCCCAAAAACTTCAAATAAGAGTAAGGAGCACGGGCGGGCAAATGGGCCCTCCGGACCACCATACCAGAACGGTACCTGGTGCTCCTGGCAGGCACTGGTAC